GTTCTTCATATGTTACATGTTGTAGGTCCTTTTTTTTAAATGCTTCTTTTTTTTTTTTTTTTTTTTTTTTTTTTTTGTTTTTTTTTGGAAAGTTTTACGATGGTATTTTTTTTTCTTATTTGGTTGTTTGAAAATGATGATTTTGTGAATAGTGTTAATTATTTGTGTTAAGTGCAAGAAGATTGTAATTGTTTTTTAAACATATTAATACTGTCGACAAGTGATTGATGATTCGTTTATCTTTGTTATTTTTTAAAGTAGAATTCACGTTGATTTTTTTCGTAAATAAGTAGAGGATATGTTTAATTTATTTTTAGAAAAAGAAAAAATAAGAAAAAGCTCGTTTTTAATTACTTGAATACACTTTGTCGTAATTGTTTTATTTCTTTTATTACGATTTCGAATTAATTATGATTAAAAAAGCACAGCAAACAAAATGAACATATTATTTTGTGTTTATTAAAATTAAAAATAATGATTTTTGTGCGTACAGAGCAATGAGAAGAAAGTATGCAACATCGAATAGCACAGCGACAATTTTAAAAATTATTATTCCTCAAATTGCATTTAACGGATATGAATGAAATTATTAATAACGTTATATTAATTAAAAGAAAACAATTATTGCTACTGTGATACTTGTAACGGGAATTATTTATAAGAATAACCGTTATTAACTTATCATCTGATAAATTAATCATCTTTTTATTTATACCAATTAAAAATATTTGTAAGTATTAAAAAAAGAAAATTATGAAAAATATGTAAATCAGTTGAAGAATGTAATTTTCAAGTACAAATATCCTGAAAGGATCCTGAAAAGATCTTTTTAATCCGTATAATTCGTTAGAAGCCTTGTTATTGGCTAGACTGGTAGACTATTGCCAGACAGGCGCCAGTTCCTTCGTATACTTCACGTTTTCTGGAACGAATATCGACCTCTCCTCGTCCTGATTATCTCTCGCGATTCTTTATCACGCATGTTTTACTTTTCTTCTTTCACATATGTGATACATAGTGTGACTTCAAAATTCTTTATCATGTATTCTTTATCATATGTAGGATTTTTAATGGGAAAAACAGTTTTATTCTAATCTCTATTACAAAAGGCAGAAGCTCTCTTTTACATCGCTCGACACTCACCACTGTCCTTTGTCGCTCGTGCATTCATTCGTCACATCCACACCGTCCTTTATTTCGTCCGTTCTATTCTGTTACTTAACATTTTTTTTTGTAAATAAAACTTTAATCAATCATTTCATCAATTGCAAGTTCACATAAATATTTTTTACTTGTTACCTGATTAGATCATTTCCATTTTCATTTAATGAAACAAACAGAAAAAATTCATTTATTCGACATAATTCTTCATTATGTTGCTATAATCAAATTCCTTCGTGTCACGTAATTCGACACGAATCCCATAGAATTATTTTTTTATTATATAAACTAGCGTATAAAACTTTGAATAATTTTAATCGAATACTGTAAAGTACCTGGAGGTGTATTTAATTTACAAATTATGCGACTATTGCAATGCTACAACTATAAGCATATTTCAAAATTGCATTCCAATATTAAACTTCTTTCGAGACAAACAAAAACAAGACAAAAATTACATAAACGATCACAAAATGAATAGTACAAATGACGATTACAAAAATGATTACAAAAATGATTACAAAAATGATTAAAAAAAAAAAAAAAAAGAATCACATGGAGTAAGTTAAAATCATGCAACTAGATTCGTTGAAACTCCGATCGTGTTTGGATTCGTTCTGATGAGAACGATCGTCTCTCTGATTGGTTGAAAAGCAAGATCGTGAACAGGTAGGGAGCGAAAGTGAGTTGCACAGTAGTGAGTACCAAGAATGGTCAGGAGTGCGTGTTGTGTGTTTCACGAGAGTGCTACGAGTTTGGTTCGTGGTCGGAGTGTTGTTTCAATATCCTCACGGATTCTCCGACTGCATACAAGTTCCTTTCATTTATCGTGCTTGAAATAAAAAGTAACGGAAAGAGAGAAAGAGATAAATACAAAGAAATAATAACCACAAAGTGTTCGATAAAAATGTCGACCATATTGAAGAAAATTCCATTAAATATATATTTTTTTAAGAGAACAGAATAAATGTGAATAATTTTCAAAAACGAAAAAAGAAGAAAAAGAGTTAAAAAAACGTGGGCAAGGTTATGGGCGTGCTCAAAGGATTCCTATTCAGTGGTTCTCATTTATTCGTCATTGTGTTGGATATCAAAGAGAACTTTGTTTCCTCTTGATCGGTGTAACGTGAAAATAGTTGTGACGTAAGCACCTGTGCGTAAACTCGTCTCTCAAGAATATATATTCTTCTCTCTCTCATACATATATATATATATATATATATTTAATTTATATATATAAAAGGAAAAAAAGGAAACACCGATAAGAAGAAAAAGATGACGCGTAAACTGAGCAAGTTTTTGATATTTTTCGACAATACGAATCTATTATACTTTCCCGGTCATTTCTTATCCGGACGTGTGCTCATCGAGCTCGACGATGAGGCATAGTAAGTTATTCCATATAAGTTTCACTTTCTATTATGTATCAGTCTGTTTCTATAATAACAATTCGAAATATCTAGGATAAAAACAATATGGCGTGCTCACAACTTAGCATTTCACATATATTTTTAAACACTACAATTATGAAATCCTTTTCAAATGATTTCTATTTCAAATTAATTACGATGGTCATATAATTAAAGATAAATATTGTTTTTCAATGTTATTCGATAAACGTGTTCTCGATATTTTTAATATTAATAACAAAAATAATGAATTTCCTTTTAAAAGAAAGATAGCGGTTTTTCAATGAATATTTATGAAATCGTGCATGTATTTATGCACTTACGTATAATAAATAAAATACAAAGTAGACGATTGATTGATAATTTGTCGTTAAAGTATAATGTAACTTTCTTATCGAATTAAAATGCATTTGGCGTTTTCCAAAAGTTTTTTAAAACTCATTCACGTGTTCCATCAATACGTTTGCATGTACAACAACGGTATAAAAGACACAGAGAACGTCCTTGGCATTTTAATTAGATTTATTCCGTAAATATTTATTTTCTCTTTTTATTGAAACATTAAAAGGGGAGGTTCTTTTTTGTGACAAAAAATGTATACCCGATCGCTATACTTTACGATAACACTTATTTAATAATAAACTGAATTATGTAATAAAATAAAACAGAATACAATGCATTTGTGTGTGTGTGTGTGTGTGTGTGTGCAATATATAAAATAATCGTGACGCCCCACTCAGATATTATTTATTTGTTTAAAAATAAAATTTTATTGACGTCATACTGTTATAATCATTTATTTAATAATAATAATCATATATTAAAATGTGTTGATACGTTTACGTGAAACATATACCAACAACCAACATTACTCTAACGCGTGATAAAAATAATAATTATTACGAAATAACAACGGAAACGGAAATGAGTGCTGAACTTGATTTTGTGTGACGAAAAATAATCTTTTTTTTTTCCTGCTTTTTCCGGAATTTCTCATATTTTGCAAAGGAAATAAAAGAGAGTACCGGCGGCGGCGGCGGCGGCGGCGGCGGCATATTATGCCAACGTTCGTACAAGAGATGCTTCCTTTGCAATTTACGGTACAATAAACTCCACGAAGTATTGTATGTATTTCCATACATATACAAAACCTTGGTTCCTTAATAACATACTCTCTCTCTCTCTCTCTTTCTCTCTTTCCCTAACTTACTGCGTTATTTCAGCGTCTCTGGATTGCATTTTCACGTTGTTGGTGAAGGAGTCGTTCGTGTTAGAAGCCAACGTGCTGAAAGGGTCTACGATAAAGAAAACTACATAGATTTTCGAATGAGACTTCTTGGGGAACCAGGTAATTATAATTTATTTCTATCAATCGCCTACAAGAAAAACAAATGAAATCATACAGCAGCATTTTATTGGAAATTGTTTCTATTTTTTTTTCATCGAAAAATTAATTAAATTACCCAACTATTATATTAAATATTCATTGTTTCCAATAAAATACTTAACATTTCGATGGTTGTTTGTTGTTCTTTTTAAAATTAAAAATATATTATTAATAATAAACGTTGTAAAAAAATTTGTCAACCTGTCCGCGATTTCGTTTATTAATCATTTGATTTTTGTACGAGATTAACAACTAATTATATTATTAATTGTTCAATTGAATGTTTTATATTCAGGGGAAGGACCGTCGCTTCTATCACCAGGGATTCACAGTTTTCCTTTTAAACTAGGCTTACCATTGGGCTTACCATCAACTTTTTTAGGTAAACATGGTTGGGTTCAATATTATTGCAAAGCTGCGCTACGAGAACCAGGTGGATTGACGCATAAAAATCAACAGGTTTTCATCGTTATGAATCCGATCGATTTGAATCTCGAGCCACCAATTTTAGCGGTTAGTTTGTTAAATAATTAATTATCTTATTTTTTTGTTTTCAGATATATAGATTTTGTTTTAAGAAGATTAAACGCGAAATATTCAAGATTAACTTCGATATATTTCTTTTTTTTGTTTTTTACTGTAAAACTTTTATTTATAACAATGTTGTTAAAATTAATGTGACAACAAAAAGTTGAATATTTTCCTTCGAATTAGGGTCGACCACCTCGTAAAATGAAAATATACGCTTTCTTTCGCGTGTTTAAGATTAAACGAATTCTCCAAGCGTATTAATAAAACCGGGTTTCAAATATCGGTCATTGACTTTTATGGACAAAAGTTCAAAAAACAAGCGAGTAAAATGCATTGAAATGTTCGTACTCCAATGGAACAAAAAGGTATTTCGGTAATTAGATTTATTTCAATGAAAAAAATTAAAACTATCATTTTTATATTAAAAGAACAATTCCAATTGATGTATTATTAATTTATCTATATAAATCTATATTATCTAACGTCGTGTTAACTTTTATTTTCCAAAGCTTAACTTTTTCATTACTGGTGACCCCATATAGGGAACGTACCATTTGACGTACCATTAAATACCAATTTCACCATGAAATTTTGATAAAACGGTACTCGCGCTAAAGCACATCGTAATGAAAGGGTTAAAGAGGCAATTTGAATAAAAATTCGATTGAAAAGAATGTAATACAATTCATACATCTATACCCATATAAAATAGGAACGATATTCTTCATTTACGCGCGTTATTTTTAGCGTTTCAAATAACAATGATACATAAGGAAAAGCAACATGAGATGATAATAGTTACGTAGGCAGATGACATTGAGAATGAAACGTAGCCGCATTATTGCTACTGTTATGCATTTCACGTTACGGTTGGACTCGTTTGATCATCGAACAACTCTTTCTCTTTCTAGTTGTGCAACACGTTGAACTTTCAAAATATACCGCCCATAACGCCCTACAACGTTACCAACTTACGAATACACCCTAGGTTAGTAACTTAATATCTAGTCATAGTAACTTAATACACTTTTTCCCGTGTGGTTTAGCAACCTGCCAGGCAAGAAATAGAACAACGGGTTGGCGTCTCCTGTGTGTCGGGTGGCCCGGTCTTTTGCAGAGTGAGCTTGGATCGAGGCGGATATGTTCCTGGAGAAAGCATCGGCATCTCTGCTACGGTTAATAATCGTAGCAAGGTACGTTAGTTTATAATTATTACAATATTCTTTATATATTATTTGTCATATTCTCTTTTTTTCTTATTTTTTTCTATATTAAAAAAGAAGCGCATTTTAAAGAATGCACGCACGTGATGAAAAGAACTCTCTCCATGATCGAAATAATCATTAATATCATGATTCAAAAAAACAACTCTGATTATCTTCATTAATAAAGAAGAAAGATTTTATATTTTTCCATTTCCTTTATTCACAAAATTGTGTTAATATAATTTATTAGGTGACGATGAAATCAACGAAAGCTTCCTTAACGGAAACTATTCAGTATCTATGTCGTGGTAAGGTGCTGGCTAGTGAAACACGAGAACTAGCTAGCGTGTCGAGAGGAAAAATCCGGCCAGGTGAAGGTGAAGAATGGCTGAATGAACAAATGTACGTTCCACCTTTACCACCGACCAATCTCAGAGGGTGTCATTTGATCAACGTGCTGTATCATGTTTATGTATGTATTCGAGTTACTTCGATAAAATGATATTCACTTTTCGGATTCTAATTCGATATTAATAATAATAATATATTTTTTTCTTTTTCTATAGTTCGTTATAAGCCCAAAGAGTCTAGATAAGGAGATAAAACTACAGATACCAATCGTACTGGCCACGTATCCGCTAAGACAGGAAGGAGCACCAGCAGGTACTGCACCTTCCAAACGTGGAGCACATTACCCTTCAACATTACCTATTTTTAGACCATGGCTTGACGACAAAGCTTTTGAGATACAAGAATGAACGAATGTATTTTTTAATGTTTCATATATTATTTGAAATCATGAAAACGTGTGCAATAACCCGAACACGATAAGTCTGATTTATAAAAATCGGAAAAATCAAAGAAAATGAAATACGCTTATAACATTGCTTTTTAATTTTATTTTTTAAAAAGATTTGAAAATTATATCGAATTAATTATTCCTTCATCCAAATATATTGAATGTTTACTAAGGAAATATACTCGAGATCCTAATGAATTAGTTGACTAATTTTATTAAATATTTCATTGACAACAAAATTATACTCAAGATATATTATTATATTAATACATTTGTTTAATCTTCTAAATACTTAGATAGTATTTATATGTGTATGAGGTACATCAAAATCCGTCCATTTTAAAATGAAATAAGAAAGATTAAGATATTTTTAGGTTGCCGTATGTATATTGTATGTACAGCTGATACGAGTTTTAAGGAGAAATAGAAATGATGAAAGAAGAATAATATAATAAAAAAATATTAATATCCCATGAGATGTTTCAATTATTTAATTACCCATTTCTTTTCTAAATCTTTCCAATGCTTGATCCACTGTAATTCCAGTCGCAGTGATTACTTTTTGTCTACCTTTCGATCCCTTAAAGAACAAATGATGAAAGTTATATACATATACACGAAATAATCGAGAAATATTCAATGAATTACTTACACGATCTAATGTTACATCTGATTTTTTTAAACCTAATACGGATGCTAAATATTTGACGAGTTCAATATTTGCTTCGCCTTGTACGGGAGGTGCAGATATTGCAACACCTACAGCTTCTTCTGAAATATCTGTTCCATATAATTAATATAATTAATATAACATAATAAATAATATTACTAAAAACTAAAAGTAGATTGTAGCTTTTATATGAATAGACGCTATATTTAGAGACCAGGTGTCTCTAAGTATGCGATGCATCAGAATTTACTTTTTATGACTCAATATGAATTTAATATTTCTTATTTTTTGTACTTTTCGTACAGAAACAAAGTTATGGTACAAGTCTCTTGGTTAATTAATTAACATAAATAATTTCTTTTGAAAACGTCTATGTCCAAATAGAGTCTAGTTTAATTCAAATCAAAATGTTTAAAACATCTGAGTGTGAGTTTATTACCTGTTATACCATTATTTTTAGCACCAGGTTTAGCTTGAATTTTAATTAATATACTTCCATCTTTACTAAAAGTTACAGGTCCGGTTATCTGTTGAAATAATAAATAAAAATAGGAAATATATATAAGAAACTTTTTTACAAGTTAAATTGTATTAACAAACTACAACGTGTGTCAGATTAAAGTTTTAATTCAGCAAGAAATTCGCAAGCGCCACCTGTAAAAATAGTTTACTATTGCTTAAGTAGACGAGTGGATCAGAAAATGTTATGTTGTTGTCATAATAGGTGATCGATTATCAATCAGAGTTAGTTATCCTGATTTTTTCGTGCGTTATTTGGTACGTAAAAAAAAATTTACCGTATTATTTACATCAACAACGACGTTCGAAGATTTTTTAGATTTCTTGCCTCCTTGTTTCGACATTTTTCTAATAATGATAACGTTTCGTATTAATTTATTCCACATTAAGATAAATTAAAGATAAAGTATCTTCGGACATTTGATAATTTATTATTTCATTATATACGTTATTAATTAAATCGTGTTTTTTGATATTGTATGTCGTTTAACCTCAACAAGTTTAGTGATTGGTGTGTCTCCCGTATTACCGTGTTACCAACCTCTCAACTAACGAATATTTTTAACCGCGTCATTTTGAAACATAATAATGATGATGATTCTTTGTTTCTATATTAGATCATAATGCCTAAAAAATTTGTGGGTGTGAATAGCAAGGCTGTTGCAGCCAGAGAAAGAAAAGCTGCTGCTAAGGAAGCTGAGAATACAAAAAAAGCTTTGGAAGCTGAAGAGAAAGCTTGGCAAGATGATGATAAGCAATTATTAAAGAAGAAACAGAAACAAGTATGTGCGCTTGGTAGTATTATATTGTAGATTTAAATGGAATTGTTTCCAATACTTATTGTTTATTTAACTCGTTGACTGTCACGCGCGTTTACAGTGAAATCTCCTTCAGGCCACGCGTACCGCTGTACACGTAGCCTACCTATTGTGCTGGATATTCCCACCAATATTTTTCAAATGCGAATCGCAATCGATAATTGTCGCAAGAATAACCCCCCGCCCCGTTTGTTTCCGGGGCTGCTTATGATGCTCGGTCATTTATTTTCGTTACTTCGCATTTGTTTCTTATCTCGCTACTATAATATAGGATCAGTTTGACTCTTTGCCGAGTAACGAGCGGTATAACTTCAAATTTCTACCCTAATTCGTTGAAATGTCGAAAATGAAAAGGGAAAACTTATTTGTTAGAGAGTCAAATAGCAAAATCACTCAAACCACTAGCTGTTGTTGATTATAATGCAGGCATAGATTATTCCGACCAAATGGTTTCCTAGGCCACCACAATTAGGAAAGGAATCAAGTGGTACCGAAAGCTTCGCATTCAACTACTTCTGGGAATTTCTGTTGTAAACGCTTTGGCGGTTTACAAAATTGCAACGAACAAGGATATAAATATTAAAAGATTTAGGAAAATATTAGCTTGAAAATGATTTCGGTTGTGACTGAAAATACAACAAATCCTTGTTTTCGTCGGAGGCAGCATCATATCGCCGTTCGAAAAAATGATTCCGAAGGAAGCATTAGAAGCGCATGCAAACAATGTTATGCAGATAAAAGCCGTCGAATGGGCAGATCAAAGGCACGAAATAATTTAAAGGAAACAACAACTTATTGTCCAAATTGTCCTAACCAACCCCAGCCATGTATAGAATGTTTTATAGTTTCGCATTCTACATAATTTTTATAACAATATAATTCATATTATATTAATAAATATAGTTTATATTAAATAATACTCAATAGTTTTGTTACTTACTCTGCGAAATATCTTTTCAAACACATACGAAAGTTCTGCGCAAGTAGTCAAATAAGCGTCACCCCAATACGGGTGACGCGGCCCGATCAGAAACTTTATTTGACGTGGCAGTCAACGTGTTAAAAGATATGTAAATAATGATTCAACATGTTGATAATAATTATGCAATGCTGCGTCGATTTGGATGTAGGAAGAGCTCGAAAAGAAGAGGCAGCAACAATTAGAAAAGAAGGCAGAAGTTAAAGCTTTATTAGAACAAGAAATGGCGACTATTAAAGTAGGAGGCAAACAACCTATTGCTAAGATTACAAAGTGTGAAATATTAGAAGCTACTGAGAGACGCAATCAAGCCGCTAAGATTGAGAAAAAGAAAGAGAAAGAGAAACCGATAGAAGAAAATTTGAATAGGATTGTTATCGAAGGTGAAAGTGCGCATGGTATAGATGAAGCTTTATCTATTTTAAGGTAAGCGTATTTTGGAAACTCATAATTTACAAAACTACATATATATCTAGATTTATCTATGCATATACTATAATTGATCATTTTTATAGCGTCAAAGATCCGGAAGTTGATCGCCATCCGGAAAAACGTTTGAAAGCTGCTTATGCAAGCTTCGAAGAGAAAATGATGCCCATTATTAAAGAACAAAATCCAACTTTGAGGCTAAGTCAATTGAAACAGATTTTGAAAAAGGAGTGGATGAAGTCTCCGGAAAATCCGCTCAATCAAAAGCTTTTTAATCATTGATATTAGCGCATCTCTATCAATAGTCTACACATTTTCACATGACTGAATACAACATTATTATCTTAAATGTTTTACGGGAAAAAAAAAGAAAAAGAAAAAGAAAATAAGAAGTAATATGTGTAAGTATAACGGATCATATTGGTTCACAGTTTTATTGTAAACGAATAAGTTATACTCCAAAATGCCATAAGATATAAAAAGAAAATTAACATAATAATATAAAACATCTTTGGTACAACTTATGCCGCGAATCTATAATAGCCTCCGTTCGGTATCTTAAATATTGCTTATTGACAGAGAGACCCCTTCGACTTTGTCGAAGTTGATGAAAAGATTCTAACAAAGAAAAAAAAAAAAAAGAAAAAAAGAAAAAATAAAATTAAAAAAATATCTCTTAACAAACATATATAAGTTTTGGCACAGTTATTATGCTGCAGGTGTAGAAGATATTTTTTACAAATTTCGCTATTATCGCGTATCATTGAATAAAACGTAATAATAAAAGTATAATCAACAAGAAGGTAGAGCTTGAAGTAAGAGATTTTCAGTAGCATCAGAACTCTGTCCTCTCTTTATACGAAATGAGATTTTGTTAAAAAAAAAAAAAGTTTTAAGTTATCTATAATACAAATAAAAATGAGATAATGTACGCGAAATTTTTCTATGATGTAAGTATGTATGTATGTATGTATGTATGTATGTATGTATGTATGTACACTTTAAAAATTGAATAGAAAAGAAAAAAATGAGAAAGAGGACTATTAATATCATTTATCTAATTTGTATCTAACTACGAGCTTGAATACCCGTAAAAAGAACTTGATATTTCGGCGTGTCGATCATTGCTTATTCGATTTTTTCATCTGGAATGAACAATATCGAAATACTAATATTGCTACCAGTTCTTGTTCTTCCACAAATCTATGAAACAGTGTATCATATGATTCAGTTGATCAGGACAATCCGTCATAGGTGTGTGCCCCGCACTTGGAATAGCTTCGAGAAAAGCTTTTACCATAGTCTGAAAGAAGAAACAAACAAATGAAAAAAAAAATGAAAGAAAGAAGTTAATTATAGATGTATTATTTTTGTAGGTGTTTTAATTAACTAACCCTTTCCATTTGACACTCTTGTACAAGCGATACTTTGTTATCCTTCAATCCATGTATAAGAAGAGAAGGTGTAAAAATTCTTCTATGGAAAACGTAATCTCCTTCAGGCCAAGCCATCCCATTCAAAACGTATTTCATATGAGATGGCCATTGTTCGACTGGTTCAGGACCACAATAAGGATGTTGACGACCTCTTGCAGAATAGAGTATATCTCTATGAAGACCGCACATTAAAAGTGGTGACAAAATAGCTCTTAGAAAGCATCGTCCAGCACCTTCTTTCGTAGGCGGTGCCAATGGCGTTGGTCCACCACCGGATATTAGAACAAGTTGATGAATATTGCTGTCGTATTTGCAAGCCAATGCTGTTGCAAAACTGCATCTATAAAAGTACAGGCGGCAACGTAGACGACGACGACGACGATAATAATAATAATAATAATAATAATAATGAAAAGAAGAAATTTTCTGATTGCATCAAATGTTAATTTCAATAACCCACGAACTGGCCACGCAAAAATTATTCAAACGTTACATACGTGTAGGTAGTAATTACCTGGTTAACCATGAACGGTTAAAAAGTGAACGTTAAAAAAGAAAGTTTCAATGATGTTCTTCTGTATATTATGACATTATCTAACATATATGTATATATAGGGATAGAAGAATTAGTTAACAATAATTACCCATAATTATGTGCTATCAGGATACACTTTTGACCTGGTTTAAAAGCGTAATAATGTAGTACCGTCTCCAGATCTTTCAATAACTTGTTAAAGAGGTAATCCTTCGATCGATCAGGTGCCGAGCTCATACCATGTCCTAAAAGATCAGGAGCAATGCAAGGATAACCCATAGCTGAAAAATATTCCAATTGATGTTCGAAAATATCTGCCGATGAACCAAACCCGTGTAAAAAGACCAACGTTGGTTTACAATTTCTTCGAAATACTACAAAATCGTGGGGATTTTGTTCGCAATTGGACAATATCGTTGATTCGTCCAAGTTAGGCCAATTTTTTCTATAATCCTCCATCTCCAAAGGCTTTGTTGTTTCTTTTTTAATATTAATCGTTTCTATCTTTTTATCGTCATTACGTTTAGATCTTCTTTCAATGTTCGTACGAAACCTTGCACAAAATTTCGTTCCCATAGTTGTATCTTTCTTATCAGGAGTTTCCACATCCTCCTTTTCTAATTCTAATCTAACATTTTCAAATTTCGGATCGTCGATCGAATTCTCCAATTGACTGATATCCATTACGATTTCTTCATCCTTTTTATCATTTGTCTTTAGTACAACTACATCATTTAACTTACTTAATTTATTATCGTCTTCATCATTTTCATGAATTTCTTGAGAAGATTCGTTACGTTTTCCATCGTCGTTAATTCTCAAATCTTCCCAACTATTTTTCAAAGGAGTTCTACCTAATTTTTCATCGATTATTCTCAAGAGAGATTGTTCGAGACTTGGTTCTTGATCAGGTTGAAATTCAATAGTTTCAACACTATTTATACCAGAATCAATACAATCTAATTGTTCTAAAATAACCTCATTAGAATGAAGTATGTAATAGTCGTTAGAATCGGGATCGTGTGCCGAACCAAGAAAAGCATGATTTAAAAATCCATCGCAGGCCGTCGTTCTTTCCACGCGTATTTTTTTCGTATTCGTATTTTCATTTCCCCCTCTAACGTTCTTCTTGTCGGTATCAAAGGAAAAATGAATTTCATTGAATATTTCTTTTTGTTTTGGATTATTTTTCGATGCCAATTCATCCTTACGAACTATTCCAAATCTTTCCTGCTCATCCTCATGAAATTGTATCTTGGAAACATTTTCATTTAAATTGGCAACATATTTAACCGTATCGTCTAATATTTCTTCGAGTAAAACGTTGATATACCTTTCGAGATCCTTCACTATTTTGTTTTTATCTTTGATTTGTTCGTTCGTCGATGATGTTAAAGGTAGATGCAAGGTTCTCGAAGTATCTGCTTCAATTTCATTATTATTATCGTGTTTTACGTCGGTTATTTGTAATTTCTGAAGATTAGCCGATACCCTTTGTTCCAGTTCTTCGATATCCTTCGCCGATTTTTCTAAACCTTCGTGGAGACTATTTCTTATACGATTTAATTCCGTCGAAATAATTTCTTCGTCGTTGGTGCTCAATCTGCTTGATTGTCGAAATGAACATCTGCAGTTGTTAGAAGAATGAGGTCTTTTCAACCAGCGAGCAAAAAAATTATCATTAATTATAGTTTCGGTTTTATTGTCATTGGTATTCTCGTAATACCATTCGCCCTTTAAACTTGGCCTTAATACTCTCAAAGTTCTACGTGGTCCTACAATGAAGAAGTCACAATCCGTTAATTCGACCTTAGCCGGACCAATTCGATTACGATTTTTCCAACATTCGAAAAATTTCATGTACCATTTTGGCTCGATCGGTTCTTCTTTCGTACTCATTATTTCGAATGTTTTCAGATCGATATGATCATCGTGTCCGATCGTTTAATAAAAACATCATCGAATTTATTTCACTTTATTTCCCCCGACCAAATGTTTCTCTATCTCTAAATTGAATCCTTCGTCAACATGAATTATTTATTAATAATTCATTTAATATACTCTTCTCTTACTACGTTAAAACAGTAGACAAATAAATCAGCCAATCGGCATTGACAATTTTTATTCGTAAATGGTAATCGAAATTCACTTAACGATTTACGTATGGAAGATGATACGTATCTTTTTTAGGCTCTTCCGTTCTTTTGTCTTTCGAACTTTACGATGATGATAATGATATTACAATATTATTATTATTATTATTATTATTATTATTATTATTATTATTATTATTATTATTATTATTATTGCAATTACTCAAGTAAAGAAATTATTTTCGTAAGAAACACGACAGTTTGCACAATTTTGTCTTCCACGAAGTATATAGAAATTGTGATCATTCGTTCGGAAAAAAAGAAAAAAAAACAAAGAGAAACTTTTCCTTCTCTCTTTGCGATAAACGATGATTTTCCCCGATACGTTTTTTTTGTCTAGATGAACATTTCTTCTCTTTTTAATTATCCTGGTCTTCTAAATTCTATAAACAAAAAAAAAGATAAACAAAATGAGGGGATTATTATTAACGTTTTTTTATTTTTGTATTAAAGGCGAATTGAAAAAAAAAAACAGGAAAAAAGAAACTTACACTTATTATACACTGTCGGTAGGATAATAACGAATGTAAATGAATAGATAATCGTTAGAGTGTATTTCAATGTTTAGTAGCTGTTCTTACAAAGAATCGTCGACTCATCGATATAAATGATAGTCTTTCATGTTTGTGTATGCGTGTGTGTGTGTGTGCATGTATTATGTTTCCGATAGACTATAGAAATATTTCTTGCATTAGGTATTATACATTTTCTAACGTTCTCGAGCATCGAGTTAGTTTGTTGTTTGTGAAAAAAATAATATTCATACGCGGACACGCGAATGAACATTATCATTCACGTTTGTATCGTGTTATGATGTTAAATAATAATATTCGCATAATGTCTCTTCTTTCATGTCTACGATAAATAATAATCGTACGCGTGAATAGAAACAGTTTATGCCAAAGGAAGTTAAAAAAATATCGATAAATTACTCAACGAGTGAGTTGTTGCTAGCGTTTCAATTTAATAAATACGAGAGTATTCAGTTTTGTTTTTCTTTTTTTTTTTCTTTTTCACTCTCTCCATATATTCTTATTAATTATTATTTATATATTAATTATTCTAAGATTTGTCGATACTTATTTTTAGTGTGTGCGGGTATGGCAATAATTACTTTACTATGTAAATTCATTTAGATTTGAATTATTAATATTTACATTTCAATTAATTACTTTTCATTTCTTTAATTTCCATTTAACGATTTCAAATGATCTCGCGCTTTCGTTAATTAATTATCGTGTTACTTTCTACGAATTTGATTCGATCATTTTCCTTCTTTTTTTTGTTTTGTTTTTCTAATCAATTATTTCTCAATCTAACATAAGTGTCAGTAAAACCGGATCAAGATAAATCGATATTACCTGGCAAATATGTTTTACATAAAACGTACGTTGTAATCATATATTAAATACATTTTCGCAAAAGCATCAATTTTTAGAATAGAAAGTTGGAAATCGTATTATATGAACTAACGGTTCTAACGTTCTCTCTAGTGAGAGTCTCGAATTAGTATTCTTGAATTCTTCATATCATATATATTGCGGTTATCAAATATAGGTACGTGCAATACTAATACATATATGCATACATACATATAGATCGACTTTCATTTTAGAAAACTTGCGTATCACTTGGATAGAAATCAAAATTAATAATCGCAATTAATATAATTATTAATATATTCTTTAGGATTTAATTATTATCTTTTTTCACGAAATTTTGTCGTAAATTTTATTTTGCATTAGAGAGAAAAAATGATTTTCTTGTAATATGATTATATTATTATTCAATAATTGCCTGTAAATATTAACAAGTCATTAACAATTTATTTATGATTAATTTTCTTCGTGTAATTTTTATTTTAAAATAACGAATAAATATTAAATTCATTTCCAGTAAACATTTTTCTTATTATATTAAGGAATTTTGATTACTTGTTAATTAAAACATTAGATTGTTTATTTTGATAACGATATTAAGTTTAAAGTTCGAAATCTTTGATGCAATATACCCGTAAATCAGAGTTGCTCGAGTTGAAACGTACTTTTTGTTCACAACGATGAGGAGGAGGAGGAGGAGGAGGAGGGTTAAGACTCTTTGCCCTTCGTAAATGCATCCGACCTTCAAAGCACACTCGTCAGATATCAAAGTTGACCGCCGGGAGCTTTTCTCACTCTTCATTCATCTGTCGGGACACTTGTTGCGTCTATTAGTGGTTCTCAATTTGAACGAAACCGCAAATTATTTACACACAATCCATCATACAAATATTTCTTTTTTTTTTTATTTTCAATGAATTCTAATTAAATGACTTTTTATTTCGTTTAAATAGATATCATATTATTTGTCCCCAAATAATAATATAAATATAAATATCATTGTAATGTCAAGATATCTCGATGAGAACCATCATGCGAGTGGAGTGAAACGCATAAGAGTATTTTCCCTCTTAACTTTGAAAGAACAAAAAAATATAAAAGAAGAAATAAAAAGGAAGAGAGTAACCCTTTTTACAATGATTAAGTACTCTTTTAATAATCTTTTTATCGCTTAAGAAAACTCAAACTTAACCTTCCACACACCTTAAAGACCAGAATGGCAACCACGCCGACGAGGAAGACGCAAACATCACTAACGGAGTAATGTAATATCATTACTACTAGTAGTAGTAGCAGTAGTAGTAGTAGTAGTAGTAGAAGTAATACAATAATCATAGAACTAACAATGAAAGTAACATTGTATAAATCATGAATAGTTTACCGAGATTGATGTCACACTGAATCATATGATGATTTCAATGAAATATTATCTACATTATAAAATGAAATCATTTTCAAACTAGGACCAATAGATTAAGAGAATTCTATTTGTCGTTCGTTGAAGAAAAGGCACGCAAGGACAACACGACGCACATATATATATATATATACAAACACACACGTACGCACACACATAGAAACATGTAGAATAATAATTTCGTCCCTATTAACGATCGATTGATCTAATAATTCATTTCAAGGAAAGTAAGATAAAATAATAAAAAGAATCGATTAATATCGTTTGACCAATCGATTGATACTTGCCCTTCGACCACCAACGACGATCTCAGGAATAACTCTTTAATTTAATACTAGTTTAATGTTTCTGTTGAATTTTATTTCGACAGGGGGACAAATATAATTTGTAAATATAAATAATAATGATAGATAGATAGATAGATATATAAACCGTTGGAAGTTAACCGCGTCGTAGAGACGTGCCGACTGATTCAACGTCGAGGTAACAGCGCGCATTTTCGTGGGCGTGGAAGCACGGTTGTATCGAGACGGGAAAATTAAGGACGATCGGCAACGAACTGCGCGCCTCGGGTCACGACGGCCATTGCAAGTCTCACTTCTTCGTTCTCACTAATCCGAATTGAACGCGAGAGTGAGCCACTTCCATTTCCCGAGGGGCCCCGACACTTAAACTTCGGTTATCTTCGCTATTCTTCGACCATCTTTGTTTCACCCGAAGGGACTAACCGCCAAATTGAAATATCAGGTCAGTCAAAAAGTTCGTGCTCATTTAACTCGTGTGGTTTCCATTTTCAAAGCTTCGATACTTTTCTAATCCTCTTTTAAATGTTGCTCTAACTCGACAAGATTTGTAAGTACGTCGTTATCAAAATCGACATACGCGCACGAACTTTTGGACTTATCTGATATAACCTATGAATTAAAACGATTTATTATTTATTCTACGAAGCCTATATACAAGGAGTACCATAGCAGTGTTATTCTTCTTCATTCTCGTTCCAGAGTTGAAACTCGCTGCTCGGTAAGAGGGAAAAGTGAATTCCAAAATACAGTGGAATTTTGATTATGTAGTAGTCGATTAGTCGAGTTCGTTGAACAATCGAACGTTCGTTGAACAATTCGTCGAATTTTGTAAAAATTGAAAATGATCTATCGGTATCGATTACTAGCTCTTCTAAAAAATGCTATTACGATTCCGTTGCTGTGTATGAAAGGTCAACACGTATGTTCGAACTTCCGGTGATCTTACGGTATCGTACAAAAGCCGTTTGAAACAATAATTATTGACATTCGAATAATTTGGAAAAATTTCATCCTAACTCTTGAAAAAAGCTTTGGTTACTATGAATTAATCAATTGAATAAATACTAAGCTTCAAAATGTACGATCCAAACTAATATATAATATAAATCATTTAATAATTATTCTAAATAAATCAAACACATTACTAAACTAAAAAACAATATTATTCATGAATGAAAAATTAAATATTAATATTTGGATAATGAAATTAGAAAAATAAAAATAAATAAATAGGTTGTCTAACTGTTGTCCTGATTATTAAGACGATTATGAGACTTGTTCGGGTTAGAAACGATGTCGTCTTGGACGATCATGATGTTGATCACGATTCTTGTACCGGTAGGTGACGATGACAATTATTTTCTCTATTAGTACGGTACTTCGAGCCAGATAAATTATAATCCCAGCTATGTTCTTGCATATAATATTCATTTATTTATTCATTTTATACCAAAGTATAAATTATACGCGAATCGTACTATTTATTTCTTATATTATAATTAATTGTTTCGTTATTCACACAGCAGGGATATATAATTTCATGTCAATTAAAAATTGTTTCTTTATCATTTTGTCGAAATTAATGTGATTGTGAGATGATTTTTTCAAGTTGAATGTTATATCATCGATCAGTGTGGATCAATAAGCTATGGTGTGCCGTTATATTTAACGATCAAACAATGATCGATCGTTTATAGGTCGTTTATAGGTCGTTTATAGGTTGTTCTTGTTTAATCTTCGTAATATAATATTTCAAAGAGTATATTTCTGATGTGTATCATTTTACACAAAGGATTAGAATCATTCTCCTTTCCCTATTTTTCTATTTCTCTTATAATATATTTTATTTCTTTCTTGTGTAATGTACGCTAACGTAATTATTTATAAATAAATGAAAGTAATTTATAATACTCTTGTTACATCATATTTGTATTTACAAATCGAACAAAAAAACTTCTGTTACATAAAGTTTTCTTAAAACGTTACATTTTTTATATAAAATAAAAAAAATTGTTGAAAATGTGGTAATTTTTTCCCGGTGTAAACCCATGTAACCCCTTAAGAATGTAAAAATGATGATAAATAGAATAAATGTAAGAGATCGATCTAAATTCTATGGAAAAGTTAAATTTATTTCGAATGAATTATACACACCGAACAAGGAATGATCGTAAATAATATTTAAGTTGCATTCTATGCGATCATATATAAAACAGGAGTCTAATTACCTCTATGATATTTCTTGAAATTCCATCGGGAAACCCTACGGGAGGTAACGTTAGTTATTTCTAAAGTACACACTCGGAGAGTTCATTTTGCTTGGAAGAGTCGTCTTTGTAAAATATACGACGCACGGTTAATTTTAATCGCACACTTAGCACGCTAAATATCATTTACTCGTTTTTATATCATAAACGTATTAAAGTATATTATTATCGCATCTCGTACAGAGTATGTGTACACATACAGTACACACATTGTAAGATGTAAAAATATCTTTGAGTTGGGATATCCGATTCTGTGAGGAAGACTTCATTGATAAGGGGAAAATAGAAGAAAATAGAAGAAAATAGAAATAATAAATGAACATAAATAATATAGAAAATTGTTAATATTTGAATGAATTTTGGACACAAGTGTAATAAATATTAATTTGTAGAAATAAAAAAATGAATGAAATGTTTGCACAGATAATCGAAGTAAAAATGATTTTCTATTTAATATCGGTTGAAGATAATGTAGCAAGAATATATGATTTGGAAGAAAGTGTAGGAAATATGGAATGGTAGATGGAGTGGAGTAGAAAAAAATAGAAGAAAGGAAACAGAATGAAAAAGAAATAGAGAGGAAGAGATTAGAAGTGGAATTCATGCTGGGCATTGCACGATAAGCAGTGCAAATTTGTTGTCGTACCGTTCTTGTCGTCGTCGTCGTCGTCGTCGTCGTCGTCGTCGTCGTCGTCGTCGTTTGAAAGGTAAAAGTGAAAAATGAATGTGTTAAAATATTAGCAAAGAAGGTACATAGAGTTTTTCTTGGGTATATAATCGTACGGTGCAAACATTTCTAAGGCTCTGACAGGTAGGTACTGTACGTTGTACTCGATATGGTGCCAGCGAACTTTGTTTACACAGTCTCGAGTTAAATGCACGTATAAAGGGAGAAGTGAATCTAAGTTGCAAACCATTGCGTTAAAATCACGATGGCGAATAGTCGAGTACTCGTATTAACATCCATAATAATCGTTACATTTTTGAGTGTACTTTGGAACGAATCATATTTGGTTAAAGCTGATTCAAATGTTATTACTACAGAAGAAAATACTACAGACGAGGAAAAGTTAATGATCGATTGTCAAAATTCTGATTACAGGACATATATACAATGTCTCAGACATCCGAATTATAAAGGGAACAAAGTGAAAAGACATTTTCCTGATGTGTCAATGGAAACAGGTAGACACTTTTTGTTTATCTGATGCCAGACAAATTTTCCTTTTATTTGATCATTACTTTATATTCAAAGTATAAGATGGAAAATTATTACTCAATATTTGTTCCCTTTCGATAGATCATGAATGCATGGACAAGTGCGTTAAAAATTGCAAAATAACCACCAATCACGATTGCAGTTCGAAATGTTCTCATTGTATTAGAAGAAAGAAACAGAGAACTCAAATTATTACGGAATACGAGACCGAGTGTATAGAAGGAGATTGTAATAAAAAAGACGATAAACCTTCTGTCGTTGGCATGGCCAATATTACCACGAATATGGTTATTAATAATGTTATCCGCACTGATACAGAAGAACCTACGGTTTCAACGATTAAACCACCCCATCCCCGTCCCGATTGCAATTGCACTTGCTGCGGTAAGTAAATTTCATTGTGTTCATTTCTCTTCATTGTTTTAATTTTTCATTTGAAAAAAAGAATAATTTAACGATTAGATAATGATTTTTAAATGACAATTTTTCTTATTGAAATCAGATGACTGTGCACCATGTCCACCATGGTGCTGTCCTCATCATCGTGATCATTATCACGGTGATTTTTATCATGGTGATCATTATCGTGGTGGTTATTATGGAGGTTTCCATGGGGGCCTGCAATTATCTTTGGTGCCACAATTATCTTTAGGATTAGGCCTTAGTCCATCGTTTGATTGTATTTATCCATATCATTGGTTTTGCAATCGTCATAATCATTACCATACATCTGGAATAGATTGTTCTGGATGCCACCATCCAGTTAATCAACACAGGTGTCACTCATCTTGTTACGAACACCATTCGTATGGTTCACGAATGAAAAGAGAGGATGAACCTTGTAAGAGTCCCCACTGCGTTGGTGGAATTTAAATTTCTTTCGAATAATTAATTATACCATTTTATATACACAAATTACATAAAAGTATAATCTTATTTTTGAATACAATCTCTCTCATGTTAAGTTAGAATAAATAATAATTGTAAAATTTGATCACATAGTATCTCAACAAGATAATACTATATGTTTCTATTTTAACAGTAAAATGAGTCACTGTGCTATCATATTATCTCAATAGGAATAGGAACATTACTCATTTATTTGTTCAATCATGTGAAATAAAAAGGAAAAGTATACGCTTTAGAATTAAATCTTCTGTATATTATGATTCACGTTGTAATATTTCATTGGAATCCAATGTTGTATTAATCATTTATATTATAAAATGTGTAATAAAACACATTACAAAGGGAATGTATTCATTCAATTTCAATTCAGATCGTTAGATCGGCGATCTAATGAAATCATTTTTATTGTAATCATATAAAATAAAATTTGTGCCCCTATAAGAAGATGCAATTCTCTAGACAACTCGAAGAGAATGGTTGCGGTGAGTGTAGGTAAAACGTTGGTATCGATATAATATACATATAGGCTTAATATTAAATTAAATAAACGATTTATTTTTTGATGGATAATAATCGTTACGTATATACTTATATAACGATTAATTAATCTAATTAACATTTATATATAATAAATGATCGATAAACTATTGTCAAAAATGATTTTGCTAGGAAATAAAATTCATTTCATTGGAAATCAAATTATTTAATAATAAAGGGATGAATATTATCAACTATTTTGTAGTATTTTAAACAATTGTCTTGTCAGCAAGGTATATGGAAATGAAAAAATACTAAGGACACACACATATGCAAGATCCTATCGTCGTATGTAAGTAGAATACATAAGAATAGTACGTTTCTCTTCCTCCGTATGCTGATTCTCCATCCTACACGTGAAAAGGCTGACCTTTTAGTTCATTTTCTCAGTTTATTCAACGTGTTATTTTTACATAGTCATTTACCAATCCACGAATGTTTTTTCTTCAGAATAAATTTAGCTTCCCACGAAATAGAAAACTTAGGAAAAAGATTTTACGAGATTCCTCGTGCATTTTCTTTTTTATACAAATTATTCATGGATATTTATGTATTAGAAATTATGGAAAGTTCATTGGATTGTCAAAATTCGTGTGTCGTAATATTGACAAAATAAATATGACAAATTTTCTATCGAAATAATCATCTTGAAATTGTTTCTCATTACGTTCCGATGACAATAGCATAAAAATTTAACAATAAGCTTCGAGTATGTGAAACATCTGTTGAATATTAGTATAGTTATTTTGTTTATTGTTATCGAGAAAACGACAACGTTGTTTTAAAATAATAGAAAAAGATAGTATTGGTACGTTTAGCTAAGATACTCGACACTTAACTGTCCTCGTACAATTAGAGACCCCCTATGGAAGAGAAGTAAGATCATCTTGACGATTACGATTACGACGACAACGAAGATGAGGATGTGGATGAGGACGATGTCAGGTGTTAGAGAACAGGTGCTCGACAAAACAGAAGCGTATATTCCGTTCAGGTGTACCGCAACGAAATGTTCCGCCATTACGTTTTACGATGGCTAAGAAACACGAGAAATATTGCTTCCGAGTCTCAGATCTTTCTTTATCTATCTATCTTTTTCTCATATTTTTATTCTTTCATTCGTTTTTTTTTTTTATTTTCATCTAATTTCTTCCACGAGCACAGCTAAAATTGAGATGATTTTTACGTGGAAATATAATGGAAAAGAAATAAAATAATACAAGAATGTTCGTTAAATTTTGGAACATTTTCAGAGATTACGAACTATTATTTAATTATAAAATTGTGAAATATTATATATACCATGTTATTTCATAAGAATAAAGGATAAATTAAATGGAAAAATAAAAAAAAAAAACAAAAAGCAACGCACAATTGTCTCTATATAATTACAAACAAAAAAATTCGTTTTTAATTGTTAATAATAGTATAAATAAAAAGATAGAGAGAAAGAAAGGTTCGATTCTTGATGGCTCGAAAAGGATTTGGTCGGGCTTCCGAAGCACGCGAGTAGGAGAAACAAGTTGGCATTCCCACGGCAGGATGCTACGACCACTTTCGCTATTATTCAACTTTATCCGACGTATTGCGAAAGGTAGGTAATAGGTTCACGTCTGTAAAGATATTTTCGATCGGGCTGCTTCAGAGACGTTACAATCTTCTTGTCAGCCATTAATATATCCAAGTCACCACTCTCTATCTATATCTTCTTTATCTTCTTTCTCTCTCTCTCTCTCTCTCTCTCTCTCTCTCTCTCTCTCTCTCTCTCTCTCTTTGTCTTATTTTATTAGGGATGTACAAATGTTTCGATTATTATTTCTATTTTTGTTTCTTTTTTATTTGATTTGATTATTATTATTATTATTATTATAATATATGTTTGCACGTGCAGTAAGAATGCGAACGAATAAACGTGAAAAAAAAGACTCGATAAAAGACAAAAATTCTAATTTCACGTTCGACAAGCGCATCATTGAATTTTACCCGAAGGAGAACACGTGAATGTTTGCACGTACGAATGATATAAATGTATATACATATGTATGTACGTAAGCATGAATGAAATAATTTGTAATGACTAATGACAGGTAGGACGTCACGTCGTGCTGCATTTATTTCACGCTTCCCCATTATCGATAGACGTTTCTAACGAGTGTGAAATCGAGCAGACCTGCAAACGGTAGCGACTGACAAATCGACTCGTCATGACCACTATTTTTTCTCCAAAATTTTATTTTTTCAAATTCGAGCATTCAGTTCTCTGTGAGTTTGTTTTCATAAAACTGATTAAAAAAATTAATTAATAATTCGTTTGCATTGTACTCTCAAAGATATGTGAACCAATTCATTTTAACTATGATAATAATTAACATTAATTATAATTATGAGCTAATATATACACGTATAACAATGAAATAAACAATTAAACAATAAATATATATATATATATATATATATATATATATATAACAATGAATTATTTAGGGTTTATTTGAAGGGTTTTTTTGAGATAAGCGTAACAAAAGTATGACACTAACTATGAATTTTACTTATTATAATCTCATTAATTTTTGTTTCTTTTTAGATAGACAGATGCTTGAAAAATGTATTTTTGTATATTTTTCTCTTGGATGAATTGATTCACTTCAATAAAATATTACATGTCAATTATTGTTATAATTTATTTTTCATTAAGAGTAACACGTGTTTAATGCATACATGCAAACACGTGCATGGTCAGGTGCATATGCACGTATGCACGTGAATTCATTAAGTAGCACCTTCGACTTTGTTGTAACATTTTCTTTGAAATACATACATTATTATAGATAGGCTGAAATAATTGACGTATGCTCTACACGTGAGAAATATTTGTTATTTTTAATTATACAGTACGTTAAAGTTAAAGTTTCAATTGGACAGTTTTGTACAAGGTTTTTTGAAATCGCATTATTCATTGATTATTCATGATAAATTACATGACAATCCTTAACTTATGGTTACTGTTTTTAACGTCGAAAAATTTGTATACGAAAGTTGGGATAAAATATCAATTTGTGATGATATTACAATGTAAAGAGAAAGAAAAATATAAAGAGATGAAAAAGGAAGAAGAGAAACTACGAGAACTGGCAAATAGTCTCGACTATGTCATCGTACACAAGTTCCTTGGACGATAAGAATTTATTTATTCAAGGAGGCAAAGTTTCAGACCGGACAGCGTGGGCTGTATCGTCTTGCCAACAATAGACACTTATAAAATTCAGGTTCAATGCAATCAATCATCTCCTGAAAAATAAAAATAATAAAATGAAAATTAAATTTCAACAATTTTGAACTACTTCCTGGTACTTATAAATACATATATAGAATTATTAATAAACATTATAAAGTAATTAGTTTCTGTAGATAAAATGGATTGAAGTTACCAAGGAAAGGAATAAGAATATGTTATTAATTAAGGAAAATGGAAGAAACTAATTACCTTTATAACGTTTACGGTAAGCGGTCTTTGGTTGGATTTTACTTGCAATGGAATGTATAGCATATAAAATATGATAAACATTTAAAAAGTAAAACACCATTGCCTGGGTCTAACCACGAGGAGGTAACCGCTTCCGAAGATTCACAAGGTATGTGCATCTTGAAAATGTCCACATCCGAATTAAATTTAAACGACATAAAATAATCTAACCAAGAACGTTTTTTAAGAAACCTAATTCATAGGCCCCACCCTAAGAATTTCACCTATTCGGTAGTAAAACGTTTACATGTCGAAGTCTAACAGAGAACAGAATAAATAATAATGTAAGTTAACGGAAAATGTTATGTTTATATATTAAGCCAGTAACGAAATCAAGTTTAAAAAAGTCATCTAAATACATCAAATATAAAAATATATTAAAATTATTTTTTATTTAAAGTACGTTAATACGCGTATGTAATGTTTAAACCAGTACATATGTATTTAAATAATCTGAAATATAAAGAGAGTGTATTAAAATATTAAAATAATTGCTAATTAATCGAAAGAAATGTCTATTATTATCTAAAAACTCGAAATATATGTTCGGAGCACCATCCTCTTCGAAATTCCCCTTCAGACTGGGCCTTTAACCTCTATGTAAATTCTTTTATTAAATATTGTTTATATGACTTTCCGAACGTTGCGCATGTGTATAAAAAGGAATAATTCATCTAATCAATAAAATTTAAGATTACAACGCTCAGATTTTAGCATTTTTACATTTTTATGTAATTATTCTAACGTTCATGCGCAGTGATGACTTCGAGGGAAAAACTTTCCTGTAATATATATATATATACATATATAAGTGTAGAGTTCATTAGAGTATTAAAATAATTGTTAATTAATTGAAAGAAATATACTATATTATATATACGTTTCTTTATCAGATTTACATGTAGATGTTTGAGAATATATAGCTTTTCAATCTTTCTAATACTTTATGCATAGTACATTGATTTCTTGATATCTTTTAAAAATTTCAAAGTTCTGTATGCAGCAATGATATCGATGCAAATCTAACATTCAAAGATCTCGTCGTTCGTTGGAATTTTAGTGTGGGATGAGGAATTTTATACGAGTTCCGGCAGCTTTTTGCATAATGTTATTGATGCGCTTAATAAAGGTTATTCTGGTACGTTTGCATATACATACATACATACATTATATATCTCGGTATATAGTGGCATAGGTGAAATTAAAGAACCATTCATCGTTATTAATCGTTATTATGTTCCTCATTAATCATTTAAACTTGATTAAGAACAGATACCTACACTTCTTTGTTCCTTTCGAATATCGTCGATACAAAAAGTTCATATTTTATATAATATTATTTTTGTTCGAAATTTATTTCATAAAAAAGACAAAAACAATGAAGAATATAAAATCGATTCAACCCGAGATATTTCGAATGTCACGCGAGATTTGTTCTGAAGGAAGATTTAGGTGCTGCGTCGTATAGTTTTTCTTTTGCAAAAATTTCTAACGTAAGATAAATCTGAGC